TATGTGTGTGTGTGTGTGTGTGTGTGTGTGTGTGTGTGTGTGTGTTCGTGTGTATGTGTCTCTGTGCTCTGTGTCCGTGTCTGTATCGCACTGCTAGGTTTGTGCTGCCGATGGCGCGGTTGTAACCGCTGTTTGGTTGATTTTTAAAATGGGGTGTTTTTGTTATAAAATTTTAAAAAATGTATGTTTGTATTTTATCAGAGAGGGGTTCGGTTCGCCCAGGGTTTTTCAATTTTCAGCGTAATACAAATATTCATTACATACGATAATTGGGACCTGTCCTCCAAATGGTTTTTAGGGCCGGTCCAGTTTAGTTTAGTATGAGTGCAGTCATACATACATAGCCAAGATCTAAAATATGCATTCTATATTGCATAGTGCGTAGTGCATAGTGCTACCGCCTACCGGTGCATGATAAATGCTTTACCGGTATCCTGTTGGTCAGCTGGTGAGCAAGGCGTTGTGCTGCAGGGCAGTAAGTATGTACTCACCAGTGCCTCGCCCTAATTATATAAGCCGGTATCTTTTAATACTTCATGCTAGTACTTTAATTATAAGTACATGTAGAAAGAAACTTCTAGCTGCAAGTTTACGACCCTTCTCGTGATGCAAGAGATAGACACAGCACCCCCACGGTGTACCTGTGCGTGCTCGTGTGGGGCACGCCCAGCGTTCGCGTTGGACGTGGTCACTTCAGCCACCAATACTACTTCTCCTGCCAAACTTCCTTCTACTGTCGCAATCTCGCCGACATCGAAGTCATCTGAAGTCAGTGCTAAACCTAATGCACTCCCATCTATGCACAACCGTAAGAATGCTAAAATCACGCCAAGTCAGCTTACACTCGAGAACACTAACTTCGACATAGATATACGCGATGGTGACACGATAGGCACAGATGTACTCTCAGAAGCAACTGTGCTTGCTCATACAAATGGTACGGAACAAGAAAGCATACACTCTCTACAGAACGTGGATTTGGATGGAGGTGGGGTATCATCAACAGTACACTATACTACACACACTGATAAGACTGAACCGCGTGATGCCAGCCTCTCTCATGTGTCGTCTGCGTACGATATGAACAAGTTAATGTCGCCTAATGCACTCAGACTGTTCTTTATGGATGAGTACTCGCCATCCCCACGAGGTAAGAAGGTAGTCGCAGGCCCTACACCTCTGGCACCATGGCAACGGTCTCATACTGGGCCTGATCTGAGTATCAAAGACTCTCGTGTGACGGCCACACGAAAGAAGATAGCGGCGACATCATCAAATGGAGATAGCACAGATATGGTTACCTCGGACAGTCTATTAGAGGAGGATACTGTACTGGGCGTGGGCAACGGTGAGAAACGCAATAGTGTGACTGTGGGGGTACTAGACCGCATCGTACACCGGGAAGAGGGCGATGAGGTGACATTCGGGCGATTGGTAAAGCAGCAGAGCTTGCTGCGCCGGCGTGTGAACAGTCACAATGGCTTACTTAACTTCCACGAGCTTATGGGACTGTTTGGCGTGCCCACTACGCCCCACAGTATGAAGCTGGCTCAGGAGGTGGAGGTGCCTGACGATCCCGATGTGTTCCACACCGCCAACTGTGATATTCTGGATTTGTTGCTGAACTTTGGTCGAGAGGTATCGGATTTGCGTACGCTGAGACACGAGCATGAGGTGTTCCCTATGAGCATCTCCTTTACCGTGGCGTATAGGGATATCTGGTGATACGGTTGTCTGTGGTTGTGTACAGACTGTGCAAGGACGCCTGATGAATGCGTCGGACGTGCGGGGGTATGTCATGGTGATGTTGTGATTAATTGTCGAGATGCGCTCTCGTGTGGTGGATATAGTACACTACTATATATATATATATTGTATCTATATATTTATATGTATAAATGTATATATATATATATATATGTATGTATATATATATATATATATATATGTATGTGTATGTATGTATAT